CTCTCCTGGAAATTCCCTTTATTTACTATTTGTATAGGTATCCATTTAGAGTTTAAAGCACATTTATATATGTACTCATTTACCCTCAATTTATCTATAAGTTGACATTTACCGTTTTGTTACTAATTCATTAAGTGTTACTCTCAGTCTAGCGTGAAAACCCTCGTACCTATTACAGCTCTCGATTCTTTGGAAGCGCAGTTGAATAAATGGGCCTCAACCCGTGGTTCTCGGCTTAGTTTTTCTCTTGAAGTTTCTACTTAGTTGCCCTACTTTCAGAAAGTAAGCACATATTTTGAAGCCAATTAGGACTGGCATATAACAACCTGTACCCTCATTACTGCCTTTTCTAGCTTGATTCTTTCCTTTTGCATATCAGTGCCACTGTGCCAGACTTTACTTAGACATTTTTTTTTCCAGAAATGGTGGTTTCTGCAGCCATATGACTGGTTATTTAGGCATCTATTCAGTCTGGCCTGTTTGTAGACATGTATTACCACATTCCCTTACTGCATTTGAGAGCAACTGATTCTCTTCTGGTCCTTAGTAGAGGAGAGGATGACCCTGGAGGATAATACTAAACACAGTGAAGGTTTTTTTTGCACGCACATTTCCATAATTTGTCATCCAATTCCCAATGCCTCAAATGCACTCCCTGTTCTTAGCAGTACAATGTTTTCATGATGGTTCTCAAGCCCCAAGTTCTGTACTTTCAGGAACATTTTGAGGCTATCCTCACTTGCTCTTCACATGTCTGTAGCACCATTTGGACACATTAGGAGAATAATGTGGAACTCTCCCCATTGCATTGTCTTGTGTCCTCCACACTTTGACCTCCTTGTAGCACATCCTTTATAAAGCCATGAAGCCTCCAGACTCAACTAATGAGGTACAACAACATGACAACCTGCTTAAGGAAAGTTTTACTCAATTCCCTGCCTATAACTGAATTTTCATTTTTGCTCTAAAAATATAATTTTGTTACTCAGAAAAATAAGATTTTTGGCTTTGCTGTATATGAAATACCTAACCTTAAGAAGTTAGTTCGCTTACCCATTCCTTAGTTTCCTCATCAGTAAGGTGTATTAATGATTATTTTATGAGGCTGTATGAGGGTAGCTGAGTTAATTATATATGACACATAGTATCTGTAGTACCTGGGCATTTAGAACTAAGACAAATCAGCTGCCACTTACAATGACTGAAAATAGTGAAATCCCATTTTTTTGTAGATAGATATCAAATTTGCAAAGGTAAAAGCTACAAAAAATTTCTGTTTTTCCATTAATGTCTATTCAATAGTTTCTATTTATTGTGTTCCAGTGGGTAAAGTATTCTCAGAAGCCAGGTGCAAGGTTGAGCATTGTAAATGCCACCAATAAATGCAACTGTTCTTCTATATCGTGTGCTCCTCACTTTGAACCTTGTTACTATTATAAGCTAATTTTTTTCCTCTTGCACCATGGATAATTTGTTTGGAAATCCAGATTTCCTCTCTTCTGATTTTTGGCATAATCCCACAGTATTATAGTACAGGCCTTTCAAGTTTGCTCCTTTAGAAAGTATTATAGATAGAAAATAATTGCTCTTTGATTATTTGAATAATATATTTTCAAGGTTTAGGATCAACTATCACATCATGTATTCACAGTGAAAATTATTTGTTGCTATTAGTAACAGTGCCTCTGTCTACGTTCAATTAGCAAAAAATACCCAATGAGTGCCTTCTTCTTCTAGTGCATAACTTTTTGTTACAGTCTCTTTTTCCAGTTCAATTTGTAGACCAGATTATTTTAGTTTTAAAATCCTTTGGTATTTAAATTAACTATGTATCATTTAAAAATAGACAAGATGCTGCTAGAAGTGAAGAAAGCAGAATGTATGTTATTTTTCAATACATTAGTGAGCCTAAGAGTACAGGCAATAAGATATATTGGATTTCAAAGTACGCATATGTATATGTATAGAGATATTTTGAAAATAACTGAAAAATATACATTTTAAATAAATTTGAGCAACATAAAAGTAAACTAAGTGCCATGATCATGATAGACATATGGTAAAGACTTACATGAGAATATATGAACTAATACACATATGAACATTTTTTTCATATTTGATTAGCTTGATTTCTGATGGCAATAAAGCCAAGTAAATGAAATGCAAAATGTTGACTGCAGTGTAATGGCTGAAAATTTTATATGCATAAAAGAGTCAGAGTAAATTTATGGTCTTATGATGCCTGTAGGCTGCTAATATTGAATGTCGAGTCTTAAAGTGATCTATGGCACCCTGGGCAAATACCACTGGGTTAGAATAGAGTTGGTACATACTTGCTTATTGATTTCCCTATCTTGGCTGTATAAAATATTAACCCTGTGAATTCTTTCCTATATTTTTGTTCAGAGTTAGATATTTGACCACCATGACACTATTTTTTAAAGTATAAAAATATGAGCCTTGCTGAGAATAGGGAATTTAAATTGTAGTGTTTATGTTAAAATTCTGGCGTCATATGTGCCATTTAAATTTTTTGTCATATGTATGATTCTGAACTTATCAGGCTGATTTTACTTGATTTAGTTTTTCACTCTCAAGTCAAATTAGAGAGAAGTATCTTCATTTCCACTTGGTCTTATTTTCCAGAATGCCGTAGAACCCATGAGTATGTGTGTGGGATGAGTACTGAGGGACGTAATGACCTCATCTTCCTACCACTTGTCTTCCATTCTTTTCACTGATCTGGTCCTATTTCCTGCGTTTTAAATTTTAGCTTTCTTCTTTAAAATTAAGATTCTGGCTAGGTGCCGGTGGCTCACACCTGTAATCCCAGCTCCTCTGGAGGCTGAGATCTGAGGATCATGGTTCAAAGCCAGCCCGGGGCAGTCAAGTCTATGAGATTCTGATCTCCAATAAACCACCAGAAAACCAGAAGTGGTTCTGTGGCTCAAGTGGTAGAGTGTTTGCCTTGAGCTGAAAAGCTGAGGGACAGTGCCAAGGCCAAGAGTTCAAGCCCCACTACTGACAAAATAATAATAATAATACGATTCTGGTTTTCTTTTCCCTTTTTTTACCTCTAGGCAGGAAGTGAGGTGGACTTTAATTTATACTTCAATTGTTAGGGGTACCTGTTTACCTTTGTTCTAGGTGATAAAATCTGCTTTTTAAAACTAAGCATAAGTAAATAGACAAGTTTATATTGTTTTCCTTTATGTAAAAATATTAACAAAGAAACATTTTAGAATATATAAACATGTTTTTTATAGATAGGTTGTTTTAAAACATGGTTTGAATAAGCAGATTTCATCAACAAGACTGTAAGTTATCAAAAACAAATTCCATGCGAGTTTATAAAACTTAATTAAATTGGACTTCTTTCATAAATAATGAGCTATTTTTTTTTTTTTACAAAGGAAGCTCAATGCAGAAAGCCCAAGTGGATTTATTGAAATGCATTGCTTGTAGCACTGACATCTCAAAGGGATTCAAGTCTAAAAATGTGGGGAAGTTCATAATTCTAACTTTTTGTGTACCACAGGATCCTTTCTCTTTGGAGAATTACTTACTGTTTCTTTATAGTTCATAGACCTTCGTGTAAAAAGATCTTTGGTATAGAGAGCTAGTATAGAGAGTGGGTGTTATGAAATGTTCTTACCTGATAGTTTGTCATTGCCTGTTTCACCTGTGCCACAGAGTTAAAAATTTTCCAGTAAATCATTAGAGGTTTCACAATTAGACTTGTACTAGAAACAAATGAAATATTATTTTTATGGGATTATTCTTTAGATACACTGTAGAAAACTTAATTTTTAAATATCTAAGCCCTACTTAAGGAGAAATCCTTTAGATTTTTTACATCAAGTTGGATGATTCAAAAGCTGTGTACATTGGACACATTTCAGTGAATTCTATTATTTAATAGAATTTCTTGCTTTTTATCAGAAGTCAAAGAGAAAATTATATGACAATTATTTCTGTTTGCTTTCAGGAAATTACCAATTGCATTCTATAGTTATGTTAGTATTTAGCCTAAATAGAGATACGTGTGATAAAATTAGAGTTTTATTCTGGAAGAATTTTCATTGTCTTTTCATGAACTTGTATCTAATACTTTATTGATTACCAAGTGCTTTATAGCTTAATAGTCTCAGGCTTTGAGGCCTAAGAATCACAGAATCAAACTGATTGGATATTCTGGTAAAATCTTTTCCACTGCTTTCTTCATTCCTTGGTCATACTCTTGTCCCACTGTTACAGCGGTTCCCTTTCCAACCTTTTCTGAAATAGGTAGTACACAATCAATTGAATGAGCAAGGTCATTTCATTTTATCTAACATTAGAATGAACAGTATTAAAAACCTGACACTTATTAAAAAGCTGTAAATTCCTTAAATCACTGATCTAATTAAGAGACTCCCTTTGGAACACAAAGTTACCTACTTGCTGCAGTGACACAGGCAATGGAAACAAACCAAGGCTGGAGCTCTTTGCTCTGCCTATCATTTCAAATCCTGGAGTTGAGGATGCACACTGACCATGGAGACTTAAAGAGCTAAAGGGATTTGTGGCCTCCTCTGTTGCAGGTATATATTCTGCAGTGATAGCTATTGGAATCACTGATTTCTGCCTATAAGGACTTTTATTCTGCAATTGGGACTTCAATCCCCAGCTCAAGAAAGCACTCTTAAGATCATTCATCTACAATCTTCTTAGCATTACCTAAGTTGGAAGTTACTTTAAAAAAAACAAACAACTTGTTCTTTAAGGTTGTGAGACAATTCAATTTTGCAATACAGTTTATCTCCCAGGAAAATTGATGAGCTTTGTATACTTTGATTAAGTAAAACAAGGTAAAAATACCAAATATGTAAATGTAATTTTAAGGATTGGAAGTTTTATTGATACCAGAGCACATTTTAATTAGTCAAATGATTTCTCTTCAAATGTCTTAGTTTTTAAAGCAAAAGATAGAATCATGAAACTTATTTGTCCTACCACAGGATCCTAGTTACTGGGTGAAGATTCATCACTTGGAATATACAGATGGAGGGATCCTGGATCCAGATGACATCTTGGCAGATGTTGTTGAAGACAAAGATAAGGTAGATGACTCTATAAATGTTCCTCTTTGTTTGCTTCTGTACACCTACATGTTTCCAAGAGATTCAAATTCCTAACAAACTCATGTGTCAATTATTATTAAAAGATACCATCTGTTCCAGTTTCACCTTGACAGCCCATAAATCAAAGTTCTTCATCAGATGTTTGGGAAAAGTTTATCGAGGTTTTGGAACCTGCTTGTGGTAGCCTAATTAGCAGATGTTTCATTCCCACGAGTTGTTAATATATCTCAATGAGTTAGTGTTAACCTCTGAGGCAGTTAAGGGTTTTATGTCGCTGCTGATTTTGTAGTTTTTCCCTTCCCCAGGTAAATAGTTAACTTAAAGCTTGAGGTTTGAAACTACTGAATACAGTAGGAAAGAAGGTCTCATGAAGAAGTACGATGAGAATTTTTCTTAAAATAGCTGGCAACATCCTATCTTGAGGTGGATGCCAAGTAGGTACCAGGTGCTGGTGGCTCACACCTTTAATCCTAGCTGCTAAAATGACTGAGATTTGAGGATTGAAGTTTGAAGCCAGCCTAGGCAGGAAAGTTCATGAGACTCTTATCTCCAAGTAATCACCCAAAAATATAGAAGCCAATTGTGGCTCAAGTGGTAGAATGCACAAAAGCTCAGAGACAGGCCCCAGGACCTACATATAAGCTCCAGGACAAACTCTATATAAACACTAAATAAATGAGCTGAATAAGCACTGTAAAAACAACTAGATAAATAAACCAACAATTAAACTACCTTGAATGGTTTTCAGTGCTAAAATAAAAAGGAGACACTAACTCGAGTATTTAAAAATGTTTGACTATGTTTTGCCATATACCGGGTATAATCCCATAAACTATTGTGTAGATGGTATTTTTCTTCAGATATAAGTGGAGAAAGATGTAAAAATGAATTACACAATGGTAATACCCTGGATTATTGCTAGTGAAACATATCCTTTACCATAAACTCTGAGTTGGGTTCTTTTTTTCAGTGGGTAATACAGCCTGCAAAATTGAGCTAATTCTAAAGTTGTAGGGTTGCTGTTGTTTTTGTTGTTTTACTGTACATCCTTAGAATTGTTTGTAGTTGGCTAACATCTTGGTATACATGCTTGTCTGCATTTTTTACATTCTTGAGTTGTGTGTGTGTGTCTACATATGTATTTATGTGTCAACTTGGACTAAATTATAAATAACTTGCTGAATTTAGATAAAATTTGTACTTTTACTTTTTTCCATAAGACCTTTCTAACTGTTCAAATTTACCTTAAACTTGACAGGCATACTATATATTTGTGTTTCATACTTTCTGTTGGAAGTCAAATTTGGTTTGATTTATATGATGATTAGCCATGTCATGAAGGATTTATCTCCCTAAATATATATCGGCTCCTAGAGGACAGGGATCAGAAGGTTTTTTTCTATCTTTTGTGTACAGTGTGTTAAGAGTATCTGGTATAGTGTCTTACAAACACTTGATTCTTAAGGAACTTACTAAATTAATGGGTAAGAAAGAAAACCTTACTTTCTACAGTTAACGAATACTTCCTTTTAATGTAGTTATTTTCAAGTGAAAATAGCTTACAAGATTTTCCATCAGGATGCTAGGGCAAATCTTTTCCTTTTTTTTTCTATTTAACTTTCTGCTTATTCCCTATGACCTCCTCCGTCCTTTAAAATTTTCTTTTTTTTTTAAGGAAAGAATATATTTGAATCACAAAAAAAACAAAAAGGTATTACATAGGGAAAAATAGTGTACTTAGTAAGAGCATGCGATTAACATCTACAACAAAAAAAGGTAACATTGGGACTAATATATATATATATATATATATATATATATATATATATATTATATATTTGACAAGTGTGTGATAAAGACATCTCTAATATAAAACATTTAAAATGTGGAGAATACTCTTTTCAAGATACTAATGTCAATGAATTAAAAAGCTGAAAAGTGGCAAATTTAGGAAAGACCAAAAGAAAAAGACTTACCTGAGACTTTTCTAAAACTTCATTACAAAACAGATGATTCCATGAATGGTCCCAAGGGAAATAATGTGTCCAACAGAACTTTTCCTCTGTAGCATTCTTTTAACAATTTTGAGAATGCGTTCTGTTTTCTTTTTAAACAAAATTGATTTGGGGGCTACAAAAACAGCTTGATTAGAGGTAATCTCTCTTTGAATGGAACTCTGTCACCACTATTAATAAAGGTGACAAAGTGACATAATCAGTTAAAATCTCAAAAGAGGATTCCTATACCTTGGGTATAGCTCTAACAATCCTAGTCCCTTAATGGTTCTTCCTGAAGCCTAAGTGGTATTGCTTTGTAGAGTCCATAAGAATTCACCCATTAGATGTTGCCAGAGAAAATGACTCCCTATTTTTCTTCCTTAAAAAAAATAAATGAGGGGCTGGGAAGGTGGCTTAGTGGTAGAATGCTTGCCTTGAATGCATGAGGTCCTGAGTTCAATTTCTCAGCACCACATACGCAGAAAAAGCTGGAAATGGCACTGTGACTCAAGTGGTAGAGAGCTAGCCTTGAGCTAAAGAGCTGAGGGACAGTTCCCAGTCCCAGAGTTCAGGTCCCACAAGTGACACACACACACAAAAAAAAGAATAAGAAGACAATACTAGACTCCGTATTGAAAATGAACCATACATCTTGTTGGTGGGGAAAAAACTGGGCACATGAAGGACATTACCTGAACCAAATGTAACTCATTACCTGACTTACGTAACTGTAACCCCTCTGTACATCACCTCTATAATAACAATAAAAAAGAAATAAGAAGACCATGCATTTTTTAGACTTTGGTTTTACAATCTTAAGATTTCTACATAATCCCTAGGTCCAATGTGGAAACTAGGCTCTGCTAAACTTCATTATACCTTACATTTTTATCAATCCAGATTAACCAGGAATTTTAAAAGATGCCTTGTGTTTATCTGGTGTCATAACAAACTTACCCAAGATTATCTGAGGCAGAATGGAGCTTATATTAACAACTCCCTTATTTGCACATTGACTATCTAATTTAGGTAATTAATATTAATGTGAGTAGAACAGAGGTACGTAGGCATGGGAGAGCCTGGATGGGTGCACATAATCACTGTGTAAAGGTGAAATACATCCACTCCAGGGCAAGCTCGTTGCAGAGGAGAGGTGGCATAGGAGCTGTGGATAGTCTAATAGCAAAGGACAAGGCAGAAAAGACAAAAACTGAGAAAGCAGTGTATGCTTAAGCCATTTGGTGTATGGAAAAGCCGTCCAGTGCAGTTCAGGAAGGACTAAAGCTAGAGGTTAAATGATATTTGATGTAAAATCAGAGAAGGATCAAACAGAGATTAAGCAGTTTCCTAAAGAGATGACTTTTAAAACCTTTGACCTGAAGAAGTTCATCTTTGGTCTTACCAAATGCTGTCTTTTTTGAGGGAGTTTTATTTTGCTTTTAACTTGTTTTCCTGTTAAGAGTCCCTTCAAGGGGAGCTGTTTTTTTTCCCATCTAACATTATTGCTACCCTCTATTTTGTCAAAATAATATTTCAGAAGCTTGGAAAGTTTGCATTTTATGGTAACTAGTGTTTATTTAAAATACTTTTTTAAAAAGTTAATTATTTAGTCATGACAGTTATTCTGAATATCATCCTGTTTTATCCATCAGACTCCTGATTCAAGAATTTTGGGATTAGTTTAAGAGGGATAGCATTACACTGATGTTTATTTCTGCTTGCCAAAGGTAACCAACTTAGTTTGCCTACTAATCACACCTCAGCATTTTATTGAGCACTAGCAGTACTCAGAATATTTTTGGTACTAAGGTATTTTATTTTATGTTAGAGCAATCCTTCAGGCAAGAGGTATTATCACATCTATTTTAATTTCTAGAATAGCTGCAGAAACTGTAAATAACTTATAAGATCACACAGGAAGCAAATGATAGAACCAGACTCTGGAACCTTAAAGTGAAACTAATACACTGTTACTTTTTTCCTTTATGAAATACCAAGTAGTGTGTTAGGTGTTTTTACCAATAATTTCTAGTTGGTAAATCAATTCATCATTAAAAAAAGCATAGATACCACTATTACTAAAAAATGAGGTAATAGAGTCAACGAGGGAGTATAATAAAATCCAGAATTAGTATGTCATACACATTGAGTTCACTTCAACGCTCTGCTTGCATCTTACTCATTATAAGGTCCTATCAGTTGTTTTTCTTGCATCTCCTTTATCCAGCACTCAGATGACTCGGGTCAAATGCAGTTTAATTCCAGTTGGACTTTATAGATAATATTTGGAGTCTATCATATGTAGTTGCAAAGGAAAATAAATTTTGTATTGCAATAGTATAGATTGTAGTATATATGTGAATTATAAACTGTGGTGCCTATAAAAGGCAGAATAATTCCTCCTATTCACCTGTATTGTAATATATGATAGAGTGTAACAAAGACTCAGCCAGCCAATAATGGCTTTGAATGTGGAAGAAAGTACCACCAGCCAAAGAATGCATGCCTTGTTAGCTGTTATTATTTTTCTTTATTTTGGTGGTACTAATGTTTGAACTCAGGGTCATACACTTTCCAAGAAAATGGTTTACCACTGAGCCATGCCTTTAGCCATTTTTTGCACTGGTTATTTTTGAAATAAGGACTTATATCCTGCTTTGGCATGTGCAGGAACCATGATCCCCCTGTTTTGTTTCTGTGTGTGTGTTTTTTTATTGGTGTTGTTTTTTGTTTTTACTTCTCAGCTGTAATAACAAGCACACACCCAGATTCTTTCATTGAGATGAAGTTTCATGGATTTTTCTACTCAGGCTGGCCTGGAATTGTGATCTTCCCATGTATGTGGAATGACAGGCAAGAGCTACTGGTATCTGGCCATTTTAACAGTTTTTACTTACCTTATTATTTTTGTGAAGTTAGTATAACTTATATGTAGTTTGGTTAAAGGTAAGTTTATAGGACTGTACTTGATTACTATGACAA